AAATATATCCATTCTTGATACGCATCATCTCTTGGAAAGAGAAATGGATTGTTGTTACAACGATGTAACGGTCTCTACAATTTTTAGATATTAAAAACTTTACTTCAAATGAGGAGAGAGAAAAAATCAGTTGGATCAGTGTTTTTCGTAAAGAAAAAATATCTTTGAGCGTGCAATCATGCTGCTGCCAGAAAGATGGCAAAAGGTGTTAGAACAGAATGAACAAATGGAAAATTTCACCGTCGTGTTGACGTCTGTGATTAGTTTCTCAAATGTCAAAAAAATATCCATTGTTGATTCGCATCATCTCTTGGAAAGAGAAATGGATTGTTGTCTACAACGATGTAACGGTCTCTGCAATTTTTAGATGGCAAAAACTTTGCTTCAAATGAGGAGATAAAAAAAATCAGTTGGATCAGTGTTTTTTGTAAAGAAAAAATATTTATGAGAGTGTAATTATTCTACTGCCAGGAAGATGACAAAAAATGAACATAATAGACACTATATAATTCAATAAAATATTTATTCACTATAAGAAAATCGTCTTTCATTTTCATAAAAACTCTATTCTATTGGAGAAATTTAACACATTTATATATGTTTGTTCTCAGCCGAGCAGTTCAAAATTAAGTATAGCAAATGCAAAAAATACAGTGAAATTAATGTTTGTATTATCTGTTCCTGGTTTCTAAAAACATTTCAAATCACATTTCCAGACACATTTTATTGTATACAAGTTGAATTTTGCATATCAAAAAATGCACTGAGGATAATAAAATTAATATTTGCGTTATCCGTTCTTGGTTATAAGAACATTTCTAGACATATTTGTTGTACATAAAATTCCGAACTGAAAATACAGAAATAAAGTTGGAATATTAAATTTAATGTTTGCATTATCTGTTCCTGGTCATAGAAACATTTCAAATTACATTTCCGGACCTATTTTTTCTGTACAAATTGCGTATTGCAAATACAAAAATAGAGTGAGAAATATGCTTGTCTTTCTATCCAATGACGACATATCGAGAATTCGGTTCAGAAATTAGATTTGGAGGTAAAATTCGGATGAAATCTCCTACCTTACAAATAGAAAAGGAGAAAAAAATGCTGTCTGTTACTTTTCTTTTGCTCCTTGAGATTTTTTTTTCTTTTTTTTTTCTTTCATTCTCAAGAAAATCTTTCCTTTTCCTAAACCTGTCAGGTATTTCTTATGGTCTGTTAACTTTCGCAAAATAAATGCTGACAGTAGATTTGTTAAAGTAAATGCTACATTTACTTTTACTTTCTTTTTACGCTCGTGTAATATAAATCATAATTTTATGTCGATGTGTGTCTCTTAGAAAACTTTCATCATAAATAAAAACAAAAAATGAAATTTTAAATTGATTCATAAATACTGATATACTTATTTACGTAAAATAATTCCATTGATTTTTAGCAGTTGGGTAGATTAGAGTAAAATAAGCAGAAAACGATGTTTTTTTAATTATATTTGAATTTTTACATGAACATATATTTTGGTATATTAATTGGTTCATATATATTGATATGCTTATTAATGTAAAATGATTTTATTGATTTATAGCAGTAAGGTAGATTAGGATAAAATAAGCAGAAAACGATATTGTTAGTTATGTTTAAAATTTTATGTTAACATATATTTTAGTATGCTGTTTTTTGCACATTTTATACATTATACATTATTACATTACGGATATTTTCGCGATGTTAAGTTGATGGCATTTTTTTATAATTTTATCCAATAACTAATATTTAAGGAATTATTTTTTGTAAGTATATTATCAATTTACCCTACAATAGGGGCAACCATATTGGAAGTTGGCAAGACTATCTTTCATAACTATTCTTATATTAATTGGTTCATAAATATTAATATGCTTATTTGTGTAAAATAATTCCATTGATTTATAACAGTAGGGAAGATTAGGGTAAAATAATTCGAAAGCGATGTTTTTTTTTAATTATATTTGAGATTTTACATGAACAAATATTTTGGTAAGCTGTTCTTTTCCTGTTCAAGCTTGTTCAACTTACCCTACTGGTTAAACCATTTTTTTTCTTATTGCAACGTGTTTGTCTCGTTAATTTTCTACTACCATTTTGTGTTAAGATATTGAGGAAGGTTCTTAATTGGTGAACGTATAGTATGTTTATTTCTGTTCCTTTATTTGTACTTAATTTATGTTTTTCCTTTTATTTATTTTTGCCTTTTTCAAATTTTAAGAACTTAATTATTACTTTGAGAACAATTCATGTTATTTGCTATTTCATAAAGACAGAGAAAGTTTTAAGAATTAATTAATTAATTTGAGAATGATTTATATTATTGTATTAAGAGCCGAATTTAAGAATACAATATATATTATACTTATTTGGTCATTTCATTCAGTTATGAATTTATTACTTTAAATATTGATTAATTTATCTTTTTTTCTTATTTTGCAGATTTCAAAACTGACCTAGACACCTCATTACAGCAGATTTAGCTTTCAGCGACCGAAAATGTCTATTTTTACGAACAATTTATAATTTATTTCAAACAAATGCATAATGTTATATTGAAGATTTAGAATTAGTTATAAGGAAAAAACGTTTATTATCAATACTTTGCTTAATATAAATTTAGTAAAGCATGAAACATAATAACATGAAGAAAAATTCTTAAATGTAAAATTGTTTCCATAAAAATAATACGTTTTCAATCGATAGATTAAATTCTCACTTAAAAATAAATTTCACTTCTAAAATAACGTCTCGTTACTTTTTAAATGTTAAGTGTAAAAAAATAATAGCGAGTTTATTAATCCAAAGCATGTGTTGAAAAAAAAGTGAAATAAGTACTCTATAACTTCCTTAAAAAACATCATAAAACTTGAAAAGAAAATCCTTTAAGTATCAGGATTTTTATTGCTTCTCGGGATTTAAAGCGCATAGGCTGTTATAATATCGGTTATAAAAACTTTATTTATCTTATTTAAAAAAATTTCTAGAGGTTAAAAGCTTATGTTAAGTGTTATTTTTTATTTTAATCTCTACCCGCTGACAAAATAAATTTTGACCAAGTAGCATAATTAAAAAGCTTTTTGTCTGCAAAAATTTATTTTATAACTACTCTGAATGATTTAGCACAATACATTATTTTATGTCGGTTGATTAAGGTTGAAAATTGTTTTGAGGCTCTAATATATATTCGACCGTTTTTTAAGAGTATATTTCATTCTACTACAAAAAGTACGAGTAACTATATACTTGACTAAAGACTATTTTGGCTTTGAAAAAATTAGGTGATGGTACAAATTTTTTGTTTCAATCTTGGTTACCACTGTTTTTCTGGCTTTTTATTTTTCATTTTTTCTAGGCAACTTTACGGTTTATGTTTCAAATCACTTTTGTTTTTTTCTTATTCACGTCTGGCAAGTCTTGAAAATGGGCGCCTACTTTGGACGCCTGAAGAAAAAAAAGGTTTTTTTTTTTTTGAAGGGAATGGAGTCTTTGTTTTCCATCAAGTATATATTTTCGCTTCAATTTCTTAGAACTATTGATTTAACAGTAGCTATAGCTCTGATGACGATGAATTTGGATTGTTAGATATAACAAATTGTATATTTGTTTTATATTTATCTAATTATTGTATGCATAATTTTAAATCCTATAAGTGCAATAGTTCTAAAATGTTATAAATAGGGAAATTTGGAGAGCGAATTATATTTAAAGCATTGTCAGTGCACTTGTCTTTTATATAAAGGTATCTCTTATTCATATGAGACAGGTACAAAAATAAACGGACCATCCTGGATAACTTTTGATCTAATGATTGGTTCTTCACGTTCTAGGACTCAATCTGAATGGTTCGAGGGGGTGTTCTCAATTCTGCTAATTATTTAACGCAGACGACATTTTAAGCTGCGAAATCTGACGCAAAAATGCATTCTTTCTGAATAAGCATATATGTTTTACAACGGATTCGGATTTCTGCCCGAAATATATAGGAGTAGTTGCAATTTGGAAAATATGGTGGCAATAGTTTAGTCAGAAGAGCGATTAAAATTTTGGATACCTTAATTTTAATTTTATTTATTGCGTGCAAAAGTTTTGCAAAATCGGTCGAATGAGTCCTGAGAAATAAAATTTTTAAAAAAGTCATACTTTTAAAATTTGAATTAACATTAAAGGGTTCAAACTTTAGACCGCACTCCTACCTAACTATTCGGACCATATTAACCAACTTGCAGCTACGATCTAAAGTTTGTCCGTCGAAAAATAGATATGTTTATTCAGAGAAAGTAAGTTTTTGTGCCTGATTTCTTAACTTAAAATAGCATCTGAACTATTTGAAGTTATCCATCAATTCATTCAGATTGAGTCCTAGAACGTGAAGATCCGATCATTAGATCAAACACTAGTCAAGTTGGCCCATTTTTTTTGCACACTATATAAAAAGCTGAAAAATATAATTTAATTAGAAGTCTAGATTCAATAATTTATTAATTTCTTTATTCAGTTTATAGCATCTGCAACATGTTGCACTTCTACTGATTTTTCTTCATCATCGCCAAAAAAGGGAAATAAGCACTCTAACAAGCAATATTTATATTTTTATTTTGTATATTTCTACCTCTATTCAGATTTTTTCTGTGTTCCTCAAATAGAGTGTCCCTTTAAAAGAGGTAAGCGTATGAAAACTCCCATTATAAGGAACCGCTGCCAACAGAAGAGTCCCTTAAATATAGGCTATTTCATATTTAGAGGTGACCCTTACAAGGGAAAGTGCTGTATTTCAAATACCTAAATTGTTCTCTATTAACTTTCTTAGTCCAGGTAAAATACTAAATTATAATAGAGTAATATAAGATCTGGATGGGACTAAATAAAACTGTTATTTAACTTAGACATGCGGTTCAAGGCATCAAAAAACATGTGATCAATGAATCATGAAAAAAATTATTTTTAATTTATTTAAAAAAAATGTCTCATACCTGATGCAAAGGTGCTGCTTTTGTTCCACCACATCCCATTCCAGCTTACTGCAAACGTATATTTTCAGACCTCTGGAAAATGCATAAGTAAATATAAACATAAAAAGGGAAGCAAAATCTAAACTTCGAAAAAAAAACGGAATTAGAGTCTAGGAATTAAACCGTTGGAAATGATTAAATGACAATTTATTTCTTTGTTATTTTACCATATTCAAACAAAACAGTCAAATAACCGTAAATAAGATAGTAATGAAGCTATTAACAGTGAGAAAAATCGTTTTTCAACTATTTTTTTACCTAAAACGGTTAAATAGCTAGAATTTTATCTCATCAACTGAGCCCACCTAATGAAGCAACTTANACCTGTACACACTTGGCTGCTAGAAATATATATATAACCGTCGTTGAACAGCCGACCCCATTTTATAGGTTTGCGACTACTAATGTTCAACACCGTAGCCTTGTAATTTTGAACTCAATCCAGAAGACAAGGGAACTCCTAGATCTAGCATTGGGAGAAATTTTCTTTTTGATGGAGCAAACACGCATTTGCGTTACATGGAGAGGAAGACCACGAGAACCTCCCACGGTTAGCCTGACGGCAAGGGGACTCTAACCCGTGATCCGTATACCACTGAAGATATTTCACGTCAGCACTGTGGTCGGTACAAACCGGATGCGGAATTCGTATCGACTGGGATTTGAACCCGGTTCGCCACATTGGAAGGCGAACGCTCTATCCCCTGAGCCAACGCGGCTCAAAATGGTTGGCTTGTAAAAAATGGTTGAATAACAATTTATTTAATTGTTATTTTACCATATTCAAACAAAACAATCCAATAACCATAAATAAGATGGTATTCAAACTGTTAACTGTGAGAAAACCGCTTATTATCTGCTTTCAACTAATACGGTTAAGAAACCAGAGTTCTATCGTACCAACTAGGCCCACATGATGAAGCCACTTAGTTCCTTGCAGCTAAGTACATATTATAGCAGAGAGGACTAGTCTGTCTATCTCATGACCGACAGGACGGGGGTTCGAGTCCCAGCGTTGACACAACATAATTTTCTCCATTCCTTTCGACACATGAAAAGTTTCCAGTGGCCTGCACTTCCTAATTTGTGACCCTGGGATATTCGAATACGATACTCTCGTTCACGCATAGATGGCAACACCAGAAAGCTGATTAACCCAAAAATTCTAGTATTTCCTATCTCTCACGATAGGTGAAACAACCAGATAAATTAATTAAGCTACATTCCAACGTTTATTTGATAAACCACAAGCTATCTCCGATGCCCATTACCTAGCAATAAGCCTAGCTCCAATGCCCAGTTAAATTTCCGTTCTACGATTTTGAAATCATGATAATTGTAAATTGTTAAAGTCCGTATACTACTTCTGTATTCATGATTTTTTAACCATACTAGTTGTAAACGGTTTCAAAGCCATTACGGTAAAAAATATTCTTTACCGTAAACTTTGCGGTTAATCGGATGGATAGACTGCTGACGGTTATTTTACCGTAATTTAAGAACGGAAATTCTAACAGCGCTGATACGGGAAATTAGAGATTAGAGATTAAAACAAAGCATAATTAAAAATATTTTTTTTTTCGAATGGCAGGCACTGAACTTTTACGTCCTTTGCCTAGGAAGATGCCGGAAGTATTACTCATTTAACACGTTACGCAGTGGGCACCTGTGAAAATAAGTCACGGAGGCGAGCAACATTTCCCACGTCACACAGCCACAGATACCCGTTTATAGTGTGGGCCATATTCACACATCACACGATAGAGAGCAACACACAGAGAGAAGCATCCATGCCCTGAGCGGTACCTGAACCCCCAGTCATTGGCTTCGCAGTCAGACACGCTAACCGCTCGACCGTCTGGCCGGCTAATTGAAAATATCGACAACTTAATTTACTTCAACTTTAGTTAACATTTAAAGTTATTTTACTGTAAGTGGGTTTTTAAAAATTTCAATTTAAATTCCAATTTTAATTTCCAATTCCAATTTCCAATTCCAATTTCCAATTCCAATTTCCAATTCCAATTTCCAATTCTAATTTCCAATTCCAATTTCCAATTCCAATTTCCAATTCCAATTCCAATTTCCAATTTTAATTAGAACTATATGAAAGGAAATACACTGTGCTTACTTTTGTATGATTCTAACAACAATATGATTTACAAATATCATACTTGTTTGTAGCGTAAAATAGTCTAAATTTTGTAGTGTATTAAAACATAAATGTTTCAAAATTGCTTCAACTTAAAACAAGAGCTAAATTGAACCATATAATAGTGATAACACGATACTATGGTACAAGTTGAATGGAAACATTGCTCAGCTTAATATTTTTTTAAGGTTGTAGCAAATTTACACGTCGTTATGGTTCAACATTTAACTGATTTTATTAAGAGTTTGTTATTATTGAAATGAAATCTTTCTCTCACTGAAACAAAACAATAATCTCGAAAATTCGTGTAGTTTCAGGGGTTTTTAATAAATGCAAATATCAAAAAAAGTCGAGAAAAAAAAGTCGATTTCTGAGTGGTGGACGAAAAACTGTCAAAACATTAGAACTCTTTTTTCATCCACCAAGTTCGTCTCTGACAATGGTAATTACATGGAAATGGTTGATAATTTTTGGCAATCTGTCAAAACATGACTTCACCTTTAAAAGTAGCTTTTAGCTTTCCATAAAAGGCATTTAATCACGAAATCCTTCGCTGCAACAGATGTTAAGATGTGACAAAATAATTTGCTATTCCGTAAATCCATTGTTTCTAATAGAGACTAAAAGTAAAGATGTAAACAAATGTTCCATTTTAGCACAATTAGTCGCGTGTAGGTTTATCGTCTCGTTTCTTTCTTATTATCTCGTTTCTTTATTTTTTCTTATTTTGCTTCTTTTTTAGTTTTCTTCTTCTTTTTTATTTGCTTAATAAATTTTGAACGATATTACATTCACTGTTAGAAGTTTCAAATCACAATGACTCACTTAAGTGTGTGGACTTGCTGCAACTTTAACTTAGGAACAAGTTAAACCATATATTTCCTCGCAAATTAATCAATATGAACCATAATATCCAGACATTTTGCAGCATTTTTATCATGATAGCAAGTTGAACCATCTTAAAAATTAAACAATCTTGAACTTAATTACGCGATAATAAGGTCCAAGTTATACGGAATCATGGTTAAATTTATCACCTTATTAAAGATGCAGCACATTTGTGGGGTATACGGGTTCAAAGTACCTATATTGTAGGTATACGTTGAATAAATTTTTCTGAGACATATAACATTCCTGTCAACATATATAGTAATATATAACATATAGTACAGTATATAACATGGCGGTCAATTAGGCTAATTACTCCGATAGTTACAAAATATCCAAATGAAGCTTATGCAGTTATTTTTACATCTCAACATGGCCCAAATTTGGAAATTCCATCTTGGCAAAAACATGTTATATAACATTACTGTCAATTGTGTTAATTAACCAGATAATTGCAAAATATCCAACTAAAACTTTTTCAGTTTTTCGCTACATCTGATAAGAAACGCATGGTCCAAATTTGAAGCTTAGTTCTTATTAAAAGTGTGTTATATAACATTACTGCTAATTAGGCTAATTACCCCGATAATTACAAATATCGAAATGAAACTTTTTTAGTTTTCCTCTACATCTGAGTTCTTGTAAAAATGTGTTATATAACTTTACTGTTAATTAGACTAATTACCCTGATAATTACAAATATCGAAATGAAACTTTCTTAGTTTTCCTCTACATCTGAAAAAAGCACATGGTCCAAATTTAAAAATTCTATCTTGGTAATAACGTGCTATGTAACATTACTGCTAAATCGGATAATTATCCCGGTAATTACAAAATATCGAAATGAAAGTTTTTAGTTTTTCTCTAAATCTGATAGGTCCAAATTTGAAATTTTGTCGTTGTTAAAAATGTGTTATATTGCATTACTGTCAATCAGACTAATTACACCGATAATTACAAATATATATAGATGGATGGATAGATAGATAGATAGATAGATAGATAGATAGATAGATAGATAGATAGATATTTAGATAGATAGATATAGATATATATGTCTCGCCAATATTGGCCGTTAAGTTAGAAAGCTCAAATTTAGACCATGTGTTCTTTATGAGATAAATAGAAAATCTAAAAACTTTCATTTCCATATTTTGTAATCACCGGGGTAATTAGCCTATTTAGCAGTAATGTTATATAACACGTTATTAACAGGAAAGAATTTTTAAATTTGGACCATGTTCATTTTTTCAGATGTAGAGAAAAACCAAAAAAGTTTCATTTCGATTTTTGTAATTATCGGGGTAATTAGTCTAATTGACAGCAATGTTATATATTGATATTCTTCTTACTTCATCATATTTGTACTTTTTATCTTATTTTATCACCGTGGTTGAACAGCCGGTCGATATCGATTATCAATTAACTATTTCATAACCTTGTAGTTTTGAACTCAACCCATAAGGCAAGGGGACAATGAAATCAAGCACTGGAAGAAACCCGCCTTCGAAAAGAACTTTTTGATGGAGCGTTACAGAGAGAAGAAAATAATAAAAAACTCCTCCGGTTAGACCGGCGGCTAAAATTGGACAAGTATTATTATACAAGTATTCAAACTTGGAAAACTTAGCTTTCTAAATCAATGTTCTATACTTAAAATCATTATGAAATATGTTAATGACATTGAGTATTTTCGAAAATTACTTAACATATTCTTAGAATTAACTCCACATTTCTGTTAGAAAGAAATTTAAAAAGTAGCTCATCATGATCAAATATTTTATTGGTTTATTCACTCTCAGTAAAATCAGTTCAAAAGAGAATCATAATATCGGTACTTTTACCCAGAATATGGTGCAAACTTGCTTAATCCTAATAAGGTGTTAAGTTGAGCTATGTTTTCGTTCTTATTTAACCATCGTCTGGAGTTATTGAGTTAAAAAGTACAAAAACAATGTTCACATCCAAAATATATTGAGGTTACAAGAAATAT